AAAACTTGTGTAGAGCCCCTGACTTGGTTGGGTGTGCGACTCTCCATCTTGGGGTGTGGGTTCAAGCCCCACATTGGGTGTAGAGATAACTTAAAAAAAATCTTGGGGGTACCTGGGTGGCTCAGTGGGTTAATCATCGACTCCAGTCAGATCATGATCTTGCCTTTTGTGAGTTCAAGCCCCACGTCTGGCTTTATGCTGACAGCTCAGAACCTGGAGACTGCTTCAGATTCTGTGTCTCCCTCTCTCTCTGCCCCACCCCTGCAAACACTGTCTCTCTGTCTCTCTCAAAAAGAAACAAACATTAAAAAAAATTTTTTTTAAATCTTGTATGTGTGATGTCTGGTATTCTACCAATTGCATTGTAGTGTAATTTGAAACTTCTTTACACATTGTCTTGCTTTAAAAAAAAAAAAAGGCTGTTTTGGGGCATCTGGGTGGCTCAGTTGGTTGTGCATCATGATCTCGTGGTTTGTGAGATCAGCCCCGTATTGGGCTCTGTGCTGACAGCTCAGAGCCTGGAGCCTGCTTCGTATTCTGTTGTCTCCCTCTCTCTCTGCCCCTCCCCCGCTTGTGCTCTCTCTCTGTCTCTCAAAAATGAATAAATGTAAAAAAAAATGTTTTTTAAAAAAAGGCTGTATTGAGTTTGGGGGACTTAGTGTAAACGTTTGCTGTATAAAAATAATTTGAAAAAATTATATCGGAAGATGTTTAAGCATATTCTAAGAAGTTTAGGGCTCCTGGGTGGCTCAGTCAGTTAAGCTTCCAACTTTTGATTTTGTCTCTGGTTATGATCTCCTAGTTAGTATGATCCAGTTCCACATCAGGCTCTGTGCTGACAGCATGGAGCCTCCTTGGAATTCTCACTGTCCCGCTCTCTGTCCCTCCCCCACTTGCATGCACGTGCTCGCTCTCAAAATAAATGTTTAAAAATAAATAAAAATAAAAACGAAGAGGTATTTCATAGGAAAAAAATTCAGTTCTGTGGTGTATGCCTGTAATTACTGGGCCAAAATGGAAGAGAAATGGAAACCTAGAAAAGTAATGACCTTAAAAGCCACTTTTTCCCTGAGGGCATTTGCTGGTTTTGGAAACATTAAGTTTTGATGCCTTGAAGGTGTGGAGTGAACAGAAATTAAAGTCCAGAGTCTGCATATGAGAGTATACAGGAGACTTCTGTGCCATAAGCTGAGACCCTCGAATGCTATGCTCAGGGTGAGAATAATCTTGAAGTGGACAACCCTTACTGGAAGCCTAAGTTGTAATCTTGAATTTATTTTAAGTTGTACTGGACAGGTAGTATTCCCAGGTACCTGACAGAAACAAATGCAGACCTTTTCTTGAGGAATATATTTTTATCCTAGTTCTCAAATTATTTGTGCAAACTACTTTTCGAGTACAAGGCCCATCTAGATATACATGCTAACAAGATACCATGAGCAAGAAAGACAATAATGAAAACAAAATCATAGACTTCAGATATTGAAGCTATTGGTTGCAAATTATAAAGCAAATATTTATAAACAACTGTGTTTACAGGGCTGTTACTACAGCCTGTTACTACAACTGGGTTGGCTGTAGAATCCATGCGTGCAGGCTACTGAAGGCAAATTTTAGAGGTGTTTGAAAAAGACAAAAATAAAAAATGAATAAAGAAATAACAGAAGAAACCCTTCTGCAATACTGATCTCAACTGAAAACTGAACATATATTATGTTCCAAGCAAACCTAACAGAAAGAGAACTGCATGAGGACATATTTATGGATTTTCAAGTCTCAGATATAAAGAACGCATACAGAAAAAGAAATCCATAATAGCAAATTTTAGATGAAAATTTAGATGGAAATTTGAAGATCAAATTGTTAAATATATAGGTTCAATTTAGGTTGTTTGTATATGAAGGTAACAGACATTCTTTAAATGTGCAAGGGCTTGGGAAATCTGCCCTCCCCATGCCTTTTTGTGTAACATTACTTAATGACAACATTAGAATAAGAAGACAAATTTGAAACCTCAAGAAGGGAGACTACTGGGGTTGTAAAGGATGGGTAGTAATCAAAGAAACCATGTAAATTTATATATTTATATTTATTATTTTTAAAATTAATTTTTATTTTAAAGAGCATGAAAGTGGGGGAGAGGGGCAGAGAAAGAATCTTAAGCAGGCTCCATGCTCAGTGCAGAGTCTGACATTGCTCGGTGTCATGACCTGAGCTGAAATCAAGAGTCAGACACTCAACTGACTTAGCCACCTAGGCCCTCCCATCCATCCATCTTTCTTCCTTCCATTCTTTCTTTGTTTCTTTTGTCTCTTTTCTTTCTTTCTTTCGTCTTTTTTGGCGCTTTTCTTTTCTTTTTAATATCTTATTTTTAAGTAATCTCCACACCCAATGTAGGGTTCAAATCACAACCCTGAGATCAAAAGTTGTGTGCTGTACTGACTGAGCCAGCCAGGTGCCCTGCTATTGTATGTTTTCTAATTTGATCCTGACAAGATTCAAAAGAAAGAGGCAGATCAGGTATTATTCTTATTTTATAGATCAGAAAATAGAAGTTTCAGGGCTTCTAATATTTGACAAAGATCAAGTGGTTAGATAAATGGCAGAACCACAACTATGACCTGGTCTAGAATTACTCAGTGTTAGCTATGATGTTATCAGTATTATCTAGGATAACAGGAACAGTAATATCCTCATAAGAGGTTTTACCAAAAAAAAAAAAAAAACAAAAAACCCCAAAAAAACCTGATATAGGCAGCACTTCAATGTACTTCCATCCAATGAAAAAAGTTAATTAACCCAACTTTTAATTCCTGATATAAACTTGATTTTTGTGTGAAGCATTATCCCTTTGATACATTGCTAGATTTACTTTGTTAAATTTTTATGATTTTTGCATGTATATTCGTGAATGATACTGTTCTGTGATTTTATTTATTTTTCATAATGTTCTTGTAAGGTTTTACTATCAGGGTTTTTCTGGGATCATAAGTTGAATTGGGAAATATTTACTTTTTTCCTGATCTTTGAAAGAGTTTATATAAGGTCCGTATTATTTTTTCCTTTAATTTTTGCTGTAATTCTCTAGTGGAACTATCTGGATTTGGAATCTCTTAGTGTATGTGTGGAAATATATATATTTTTTAAAGATTTTATTTTTAAGTAATCTCTACATCCATTGTGGGGCTCAAACTCACGCCCCTGAGAGCAAATGTTGCATGCTGTACCAACTGAGCCAACCAGGTGCCCTCTGGAATTATTTTTAATTGTGGATTTCATTTTTTCAAATAATTACAGGACTTTTCAGATATTTTAAATGTAAGTTCATTCAGGTAACAGTTATTAATTAACTGAATTTATTGTTTGAATTTCATTTAACAAAGTTACAACATTTTGAGCTTTAAAATCTTAATGCTAGATATCACTTAGGACGTTTTTTAAACTTTGATAAAGTATACGTAACATTAAATTTACCATCTTAGCAACTTTTTAGCATACAGGTCAGTACTATTTAAGTATATTCACATTGTGTGCAACAAATCTCCAGAACTCTTTTCATCTTGCAGAATTGCAGCTATACTCACCAAGCAACAATTCCCTACCCTCCCTTTACCCCAGCCCCTGGCAACCACCCTTGTATTTTTTGTCTCTGAATTTGGCCACAGTAGATATTAAATAAGTGGCATCATACAGTGTCCTTTTGTGATTGGTTTATTTCATGTAGCATAACATCCACAAGGTTCATCTATGTTGTAGTGTGTCAGAATTTCCTTTTTATAAGGTTAATGTTCCATTATATGTATATACCACGTTTTGTTTATCCATTCATCCATCAGTAGACCCTTAGGTTGCTTCTTCCTTTTTGATGTTGTGAATAATGGTGCTATGAACAAAGGTGTACAGTTATTGGGGTGCCTGGGTGGCTCATTCGGTTGAGTGATTAACTCAGCTCAGGTCATGATCTCACAGTCTGTGGTTTGGAGCCCCACGTCGGGCTCTGTGCTGACAGAGCCTGGAGCCTACTTCTGATTCTGTGTCTCCCTCTCTCTGACCCTTCCCTGCTTGCTCTCTGTCTCTGTCTCTCTCAAAAATAATAAGCATTAAAAAATAATAATGTGTACAGTTATCATTTCAATACTCTGAATTCTTCTGGGTGTATACCCTAGAGTTGCTGGATCATACAGTAATTCTATTTTTAATGTTTTGAGGAGCCACAATATTGTTTTCCATTTTATAGTTATAGCAACGGAAGACTTCAAATTTTATATGCTTTGGTATGTCAGTAACCTGTATTTCTCTAGTAATTTGCCTATTTCACCAAACTTGAAAATTTATTGACATAATGTTGTATCTTCAATATCTGTAGTGATATCATTTTTTTTTCACTTAAATTGGTCACTTAAGCCTTTTTCCTCCTCTTTTAAAAATCAGTGTTTCCTGGGGGCACCTGGGTGGCTCAGTTGGTTGAGCATCCAGCTCTTGATTTTGGCTCAAATCATGATCCCAGGGTCTTGGAATTGAGCCCTGCATCAGGTTGTGCACTGAGTGTGGAGCCTGCTTAAGATTTTCTTTCTCTCTCCATCCTCCTTTCCCTCTCTCCCCCCTCCCTCCACCTCTGCCTCACTCCTCCACTTGCTCTTTCTTTCTAAAATAAAAAAATATCAGTGTTTATCTTTTATGGTGTTTTGTTCATTTGTTCTTGTCCTTATTATGTCATACTTTAAGTTTAGTACTTTGTTGTTGGTCTCACACTCTTTGGGTCTGATTTGTGTTTGCCCATGCTCGTCTGGGTTTGTGTGATTGCTCTCCCCTTTTTTCTACCCCTTTGAAAACAAGTTTTCACAGGTACCAATTTTTTTGTTTGTATGTTTAAATGAGGAGAGTAAGTTGGGGAGAAAAAAGTTGAAGTGTTAGAAATGATAGCATCTTTTAGCACTAGGCTTCATCCATTATCAGCTGTACTAAAAATTCTCATATACTCTGATTGACAAGATTATCAAATGCAGCTTATAACCGTGTTACTCTTTTTTTTTACCCTCTCTTTGGCAGGACCCGTTGGGGCCCAGCCCCTACTCATGGTGCCCAGAAGACCTGGCTATGGCACCATGGGCAAACCCATTAAATTGCTGGCTAACTGTTTTCAAGTTGAAATCCCAAAGATTGATGTCTACCTCTATGAGGTAGATATTAAACCAGACAAGTGTCCTAGGAGAGTGAACAGGTAAGAATCGTGAAGTCATGGAGATTATTTTGCTGTTGATATTTGTTTGCTTTAGTAATTATGTTTATCTTTCACATTTAATAACAATAATAATGTTTAACAGTTTGACCAAGCACACATGGTAATTTGTTTTGAAATTGTACTTCAGGGGCGCCTGGGTGGCTCAGTCGGTTAAGCGTCCGACTTCGGCTCAGGTCATGATCTCGCGGTCCATGAATTTGAGCCCCACGTCGGGCTCTGTGCTGACAGCTCAGAGCCTGGGTCCTGTTTCAGATTCTGTGTCTCCCTCTCTCTCTCTGACCCTCCCCCATTCATGCTCTGTCTCTATTCAAGAATAAATAAATGTTAAAAAAATAAATAAAAAAAATAAATTGTACTTCAGAGCTGTGATGTTGGGAAAAATCAACAAATAGCCTTGAAATTTTCTCATTATAGCATAAGCTCACGTGTTTTCTCTGTGATAATAGAGAAGGTCCAGCTCCTTTTTACATGCTCTTGAAATCAGACTAAGCATATCTTTTCCATTGCTGTTGGTTAACATATCTGTGCTTTCTTTTTTTCTCCCCTTTACGTGCCCACCTTATTTATCCCTTTAAAATGATGGGATGGTAGCAGTAGTGGGTAGAAATAGTGGTTGTCATGTTTCATGCTTTCTGTTCTGGTCCTCAACTCCTGACTTTCCTTCCTTTTATGTAGGAACAAGTACATAATGATATAGAAACATTTATCAATATGCTTTTAGTAAGCTGCTTCTCTCAACCTCCCCCAAATGTATGTGTGTATGTATGTATGTATGTGTATATACGTATATGTATGGTTGTGGTTTAGGCAATAAGGGAAGACAAATGGAACTTATGACATGGTGTACACCATGAAGGAGCTTTTAAAAAACAAAATAGGCGCCTGGGTGGCTCATTTGGTTAAGTGTCTGACTCTTGGTTTTGGCTTAGGTCATGATCTCACAGTTTGAGAGTTCAAGCCCGTGTTGGGCTTTATGCTGGCAATGGAGGCTGCTTGGGATTCTCTGCCCCTCCCCCGCTTACTGTTTTTCTCCCTCCCTCTCTCTCTCTCTCTCTCTCAAAATAAATAAATAAACTTTTTAAAAAAAGCAAAACAAAACAAGACATATAGACAAAACACTTAGAAAACAGTGATACTCAACTTAGCATTTTGATTTATGCTATCAAATATCCCAGCCTTTTCTTATTCAATAAGTATTATTAAGAGTCTTCATTTAAGACATAGGTGGTTCTTGCTGTCAAGAAATTCATCATTTAGGGGCACCTGGTGGGGCTCAGTTGTTTGAGCGTCCAACTCTGGCTCAGATTATGATCTCCCAGTTCATGGTTTTGAGGCCCATGTCATACTCCGTGCTGACAGCTTGGAGCCTCCTTCAGTTGCTGTGTCTCCCTCTTTTTCTGCCCCTCCCCTGCTCTTGCTCTGTTTCTCTCTCAAAAATAATTAAACATTAAAAAAAAAAGAAATCCATCATTTAGCTAAGACACGTAAGAAATATGAAGTGAATGAGCACTAAGAGACTTTGCTATAACGTGTAAAAAAAAAAAAAAAAAAAAACCCATCATATGAATGTAATAATGTGGAGTGCAGAGTTCTTTCTGAGGTCACTCGCCTACTGCAAAATTTATTTAATTCCCTGTGGCCTACAGAATGACATCTCAAATTTAGTATAATATACCCTTCTTTGTTTGGCTCTAATCTATATCCTTTACCATATTCTGCAGTCTTACCTGGAATGCCCTTTCTGCCCTTATCTATCTGGCAAACTTCTATTATGTTTCAAGACACACCTTTTGAACTCCATAGTCAGAGGTAGTTCATTCTTCTGTGACCTTATAGTACTTGGTGTACAATGCTGTTATAGTATTTTTAGTGTATATTGGTTACTTGTTGCTTTCCTCTTCTCACAGTATAATTTCTTCATGAAAAGGAATACTCTTTTTCATTATCTTTGTAGTGCTGATATTAGCTTGATGATTGGCACATAATAAATAGAGTGAATGAAAGCTTATAAAAGTAAAATGAGATGAACATGATGGTGAGGGGGCAGGAAAGAGACTGGACATTATAAAAGGCTAGATTTACCCAGAGATTTTCAGTGTCCTACCCTTTTCTCTTAAGGTCCATAAGCTAGTCTTTGTCTTAGAGTCCTTCCTCTCTCATCTGTCTTTCTGCTAGCCATCTGCTTATGGGGACCCAACTATCTTCATGCCACACTCTCAAATTCCCTTTTTCTTGTTTCTCAAAACTGGGGTGTTAATCTGTAAATTTGAAGGATAATCCTGGCCCTTTTGATTGATGTCTAACATTTTATTTTATCTTATTTTTTTTTAATGTTTATTTATTTTGAGAGAGAGAGAGAGTATGCACTCAGGATGGGCAGAGAGAGGGGGAGAAATAATCCCAAGTAGGCTCCATGCTGTTAGAGCAGAGCCTGACTTGGGGCTTGATCCCTGGGAGCATGAGATTATGACCTGAGCCAAGATCAAGAGTTGGACACTTAACCGACAGAGGGACCCAAGTGCCCCATATTTTGTTTTATTTTTTAATATTATTCTTTTTTTTAAGTTATTTATTTATTTTGAGAGAGGGAGAGAGAGAGAATCCCAAGCAGGCTCTGTGTTCCACACTGAGCCCAATGCAAGGCTCAGTCTCACAAACCACATGATGATGACGTGAACCCAAGAGTCAGATGCTCAACCGACTGAGTGTTGGTAGATATTTCTCTAAGGCAGATTTTTTTTTTAAATGTTTATTTATTCTTAAGAGAGAGAGCAACAGAGCATAAGCAGGGGAAGGGCAGATCAAGAGGGAGACGCAGAATCTGAAGTAGATTCCAGGCTCTGAGCTGTCAGCACAGAGCCTGACGCAGGACTTGAACCCATGAACTGTGAGATCGTGACCTGAGCCAAAGTCGGATGCCCAACCAACTGAGCCTCCGAGGCGCCCCTAGGGCAGATATTTCTGAACTCAATTCCTTACTACTGTCTTTCCCCCTTGCCCTGCCCAAAAGAGCCACCCCTAATTTTAGCAGTATATAGTAAAGAATTGTTGTTGGTTATTGATTAAGTAGGAGAATCATATGATGAAAATGTTAGGAAAATAAAATTGCTTTAAAGACAAAATGGGTTATAATTTAGAAAATAATGGGAATTGGAGGCTTGGGGCTTAGAGGGATGTCAGCTGAGACTTTTTTTTAGTTTTTCAGAGTTCTGGGGACTGGTGTAATATTAGGTTAAAAAAATAACAAAATTATTTATTAGGTTTGTTCCTTCTCCTATATAACTTTTTATTTTTGGTAGGAATGAGGAAGTTATTTGTATATTATGTAAGTGTATATGAAATTGGGGTGCCTGGCTGACTCAGTCAGTAGAGCATTTGACTCTTGATCTTAGGGTTGTGAGTTCAAGCCCCATGTTGGGCATGAAGCCTACTTAAAAAAAAAAAAGAAAGAAGAGAAGTTAAATAGCATAGAATTTCACATGTGGATGCTCAACATATTGGTTAAGTTTGGGAGAAATGTATGTAATAATTGGTGTGTGCATTCTGGTTTTAATTTACTTCCCTAATTATATTTTGTCTTACGGTTCTTTTGTCTTGTTATGTTGTTTGCCAGTAGGAGTAAAACATCTGTAATTTAGATGTTTCCAAATGGAAGTTTTTTATCCTGTATCTTTAATTTGAGTTTTCACAGGAGCTACAGGATTTCTTTGAGATTCTTAAAATGATATAAATCAACTTTACTCTCTTTCTTTGTTAATAATGACTTGATTTTATGTCAGCATTTGTAGAACTTACTGCCTTTATTCCTTCAAAAGAGTAACTTTTATCCTCACTTTTTGCAATGTTGCTACATAACTAGTTAGTTAAAATTGTTGGTAGACTTCTGAAATTCATTCAGTTCCTACTCTTCAACGGCTAGAACTCGAGAAGTTAGAAGAAACTAGATACAACTAGACAATTCCTATTCCATATTAGCTAAACAGATATGGGCCAAAATGCCTCAGTATTTAAATCAACGGATAGGAGGTTTTTCTTGTCCATATGCCACATGCTCAAATATTTGGCACCATGGTATTAATCATAATAGTAGAATGATGGATTGTAGCCAAACAAGTTTCCACTTTAGTCATAGGAGTTTTCTTGGACAAAAAATACCCAGGAAATGCTTGTGAGTCATTTTTTGTGAGTCAACTTCTCTACTTCAGATTTTCTGTCTATTGCTTGTTTTGTCCTTTCCTCACCCCTTTAGGCTATGTGTGTGTTGTTTTTTTGCCAACTTAATGATTTTGATTGAAATTGATCATTTGGTAAAAGAGTATGTTTGTTAAGCAGACTTTAAATGTTTCCAGTTTTTTTTAAGTGCATGGTCTCAATAACTGAAAATCAAATATTTTTAGAAATACTGACCTAGAGTATAAATTCCTTAACTTGAGGTTTTATGCTAGTTTGTCCAACTGCTAAATATGTATTGGGATAAACCTCAAATAGATTGTTATGTACTTACTCAAAATCATTAAGTAGTGAAATATATACATGGGAAAAATTGTATAAAAGCATGATTATAACTGCAAGATCTGTTATTGTTAAACATGAAGTAAAGATTCGAAGGAATCTTGAGATGGTATTAGATTGTGGTTGAATTTTTTTGGTTCAGTTTTCTTTTATAAGTGAAACATTATCTTATACTCATTGTACTATTATCACTGTTACTCTTGTGTTGTAATTCGTGATACAGTGCCAAATATTTGTGCATGTTGCATATGGTTGTGGTGTAATACTGATGATTGAATTTTAGAAGAAAAAAAATAAATCTATATTGATTCCATTTTGGCTTTTAAATGGAAATCTCAGATCAGAGTCTTGGAAAGAACTCCCTTTCTGGTGTTATTAGGAATGTCATTGGTACAGTGTTGTAAATAAGTGATAAGCGAAGAGAGGGACATGCTTTTTTAAAATGATAACGTTGTTTATACGAAATT